TCTAGCTGCTGCATTTTGGATGTACTGCAGCTGCTTACAGGTCTGTTTGGACAGACCTGTAAGCAGGCCATTGCAGTAGTCTAGCCTGCTGGAGACAAATGCATGGACAAGAATCTCCAAGTCTGCCCTGGACACTATATTTCTAACTTTGGCAATGTTCTTCAGATGGTAAAAAGCTGTTGATGTTATTGATTTTATGTGGCTATTGAAATTTAGGTCTGAATCCAGTATTACCCCCAAATTTCTGACCTTGTCTGAAGGAAGTAGGGAGAGAGACTGAAGTTGACAAATGACGCCCTCTCTTTGTTTCTGGGGACCAAAGACAATGATTTCGGTTTTGTCTGTATTTAGCTGGAGGAAATTATTTTGCATCCAGTCACTGATCTGTTGGATACAGTGAAGGAGCAAATCCAGTGGTCCATGTTCTCCTGCAGTCAGTGAGACATAGATCTGAGTGTCGTCAGCGTAATTGTGGTAGGACACTTTGTTTCTTTGTATTAACTGACCTAACGGCAGCATGTAGAGATTAAATAGGAGAGGTCCCAGGATCGACCCCTGTGGTACACCACAGGTCAGGGCCACATCATCTGAGACGCAGTCTCCAATCTCCACAGAGTACTTCCTATCCTCCTATCCTCCAGGTAAGACCTAAACCAGTCTAGGGCTGTGCCAGTGACACCAGCCCAGTCCTCCAGTCTCTGCATGAGGATCTCATGGTCGACAGTGTCGAACGCGGCACTAAGATCTAACATGACCAAAACTGTGACTTTACCTGCATCAGTGTGAAGTCGAATGTCGTTTGTTACCTTCACTAGAGCGGTCTCAGTGCTGTGGTGGGGTCTAAACCCACTCCCAAAGAACCCCGTTTTATTTTTGATATGATAGTAATGATTCTCATAAAGGTATAAGGCTATTGTGCATTCGTGCATTCTATCCTGTGTTTCAAATGATTGAAGACGTTTAGTCGGTGGATTGTTATGAAAAACAACAATTTTTATGTTCAACAGATTCTCAAACTTTGACACATCATTCAGTGTCACGTTTGTTTGTTGATCCAGACCAACTGCGGCTTGCCACTCTTTGGCTTTATCGAGTAATTTACTATGGGTATAGTTCGCATGAAATGCATGGGCTATACACATCGCAAAACACAATGCATTTTCGGTATTGTGAGGGTTATAAAGAAATTTACCTTTCTTTAACAATATTGTATCGTAGGCTACTGCACCAAGTTTGAGCCGCAGACCACCACCACTTTGTGAATGTGCTATACTCACTATTAATGTCATTTCATCTTCTATAATGGACTTGTCGTTACTTTGTAACACTTTTTCCACTTCCTCTAAAAAATGGTCAACATTGTAGTTATTGTCAGAGTTCAAAATAACTTGAATATCGTCACTAAGCGAGGGCCCTCGTAATGCAACATTCATCACACATCCTTGTTCTGCATTGTTTACAGCCTGTGTTATTAACCCTGTTAATTTTTCATTTACTCTTTCACAAGCCTTTACGGTATCTGTAGGGTCTATACCTCGAAAATCAATGTGCTCAGACATTACCGTGGTATTAAACTCTGATATTACGTTAACATGGACCTCCCCACCTGATTGTACGTTAGCGGGGACATCACTTTGTTCAGTAATCTGTACAACACCACCCACTTGTATGGTCTCGTTACCCTCCAGGGGGTCTGACTCTGTGTGAACTATACAATTTCTTGAAACATTGTTGTGTCGACTTAAAACAGAGCTGCGTGTAGGTGGTTCGTCATTTTGCGTATCCATTTCTATAGTTTGACTATTAATACCTACACAGTTGTTTGTAGGTTGTTGTATTGTGGGTTGTATAGTATCTTTACTTATTGACTGGTTAACATTATCAGCATTTGAGGTAATGTCTGCTAGCGAAGCCCTTTCAGCTATGGTCGGTGCTATTAACCGTTCTGCAGCATGGGATGCACTTTGATGATTTGTACGAATTAGTCGATCAATACACGGATACGTGTTACGCGTTGTTTGATAATTAGTACGATCAGTGTTACGCGTTGTTTGATAATTAGTACGAATTAAACGTTCCACTGATGCATAAGTGTTAGAGCGCTGGCCATAATTAATTCTTATTTTTTTAGGAAGTTGAGAGGGTGCTGTAGCGTTAGGTCTTTTAGTGTGCTTCACAATCGTAAGCATTTTCGATGGCTTTCAAATGAGAAGTGTTTTCATTGATTTGCTCTATAACAGCCGCTATAGACGTGCTCGCTTGGTTATCCACTTGTGCAATTCTATCAGCTATTACGTTTCCCGTGTTTTTAAGGTGGTTGATTTCAGTAGTCAAATTTTGAATTTGTATTTCCCCGCGTAAGGTTTTTGTTTCTAATTCCCTGTTGTGTATAGAGGCTTTCGTGTATTGAGTTTGCAATTGTAGGACCTCTCGTTGAAGCGCGCGTGTCTGTAGTTGGGCTCGTTGGCCTCTAGCGCGTAGTTTAGCTCTGTGTATGGTAGCGTTTGTACGCTGATTTTGCAGCACCAACACTTGTTTAGTAACTTTTACGTGCTCAGTTTGAAGATGGTGAACTTGTCTCTTTAACTGATGTATTTCGTTAAGTATACGGGCCTCTGTGTATTTTACTTGTTGGTTCACAGTTGCTAGACACCTGTCTGTATGTATCTCTGCACTAACACAACGTGCCTTGGTTGACTTCAATTCCTCACGTATGTTGGAGAGCTCTGTTTTCACAAACGTTTTTTCACTAGTGTTGTTTAACAGATGTGTGTTTTCTTGTAGAGTATTCACCTTTGGTGTTAAAGCATTCTTTACAGGCCCTTTTGCTGCATCAGGAGCTGCTGCGTGTCCAGATATTGGTTCAAAGTATTCCTCACGGTCCGGGAATGGTGTTCCTGCGTTTAATACATCTTGATCGTTGTTTGGTATACCTTCATCGCGTATAATGGCATCAATGTCGAGTGTCGCTATAAAATCGATTATGTTGAAATCCTGGTTTACTGAGGGCTGATTCTCTGTGTCTTCGTCACCCTCTGATGAGCTAAAATAGTGAGAAGAAAATTATAACCTCTATCATTATAAAATTATAATATGTAACTCACCTTTTATCATCATCCCCCGTGATTAGTTATTTTGTGTCCGTTGCGGCGTGATAGAATTGCTCTAGAAAAAAAAATATATACCTCTCATAAAACTTGTTATATAAAGTTAGTATATGTACCGACTTACGGAGCTTTATGTTGATGTAATTGTTTTAATTTATGCATCAGGGGCATTGACTTGGTGTTTAATTTACCTGTGCTGTATAAAATGAAATAAAAGTATTAAACATCTGATTAAGACATTAAGGAAAATGAGATCTTACCCTATTTCATCCGTTGGCTGTATACCTCTCGTAACTTTTGCTGTTGGAGTTAAATCTTCATCGGTGTTATAATGTGTCAATAAACGACCCTTTCCTAGAGATAAACTAAATTAAAACATTTAATATGAATACTGAAAAATGTTATAACTTACCTGTATTAGACATATTGCATAACCTTCTCTTAGACAGCCGTAATGCGTTTGAACCATTGAAAAACTTGTAATAGACCTCCCACCCATTCTGATTTGTTGCTAGTACGCCCTCCCAACCGCTCATCACTATCAGACAAACACACGTGTCGTTAACAGGGAGGACCTGTAGATTAATTAGTTTATTGACCTAACTGCTTGTTTTAGAATAAACCGTGATCATAAATCACTTTAGACAACTGTGAAACATTATCACACACACACAGGCCAACAGAAGCTAACTCATTAAAAAAAAAAAAACAAAGTGCAGTAACACCTTTCACCACTTGCTCAAGAGCGCCGTCCCCTTTCTGGGGGATTTTAGGGTGCAGTACCACCTTTTCACCACTTGCTCTTGATAGGTGCCTATACTATCTACTTCCTGGTCTTAAGCCTAGTTTATACTCGCGCTGTGCGGAGCTTACGGAGGTGACGTGACGTCACTTGCGCAACACTTTGGTCACCGCAAGGCCCTTACGTCGCCTGCTGCGCAGCATCAACATTTTCAAACTACGTAAGGGTCGCCGCAAGGAAGCTCCGCTGTGATTGGTCCTTCGAAGGAAAAGCAGTTTGGGCTCAGAGCCTGATATACAGGAGACTGTGGACTATCTAACATATATATAACTTATAAACTGTGCAGTCGTTTGTTTTGCTCTGTTCCTGTCTTTGTTTGAATCGTAGCTGCGTTTGTTGCTTTCCTCCTGCACTCGTAAATCGTTCATGTTTGTCTCAGATATTTACCACTATTATTGGTTTTCTGTTTGTGCTGAAAACTATTTAATAATAACTATGTTTCCAACAAGAACTGTGTCTTTATTCACAGCATCACAGTTGAAATGACTTATAAAATAATGAATCCATAAAACTATCACATAAACCTACAGTAGAAACACGTGTAATGAGCTCAAACAGCTTTGTTTGCTATTGTTGTTCTGAAGAGGACAAAGTAGCAGCGTAAATGGGACCGCTCCTGTGTGATCGCCCTCATGTGGTTTGTTGTGGGATTACAACATTCTCCTCAAAACTCCGTAAGGGGAACGCGCCAGTATAACATCAATTGTGCTTACGTAGGTCCACCGCAACCGCTAACGTAAGCCACGCCGCGCAAGTATACACTAGGCTTTAATTTTCTTTCACACCTCTCACTTGAGGTAAGAGGTGTGAAATAAAAACAAAGGCCTGGGTGAGTTCATGGATCTGAGGCCCTGTTTATACTGAGACGCTGCGCAGACGTTTCCAAGCGATTATCAGAAACGACCGGGCTCCTTATGCAAATTTCTCAGCGTACATACGAGGTTGAAAAACGATGTAGTTCTAGCGCCCGGCCAGTAGGGGGCAGATAAACTTTCAAACCCACACACGCATGACCCCCTGCAGTGTAATCACTTCCGCAACGCAAACCTTGTTCGACCATCACTCTGCATTTAACAACAGCAGCAACAACAATGGAGAATGTAGCTACAGCTTCCCGTGGTTTCGTCTGGACGGACGAGGAGGTGGAATTGCTCCTCCGTGTAACGCTGGAGTACAAGACGACTAAATGCCAGGAGAACGTCGACTGGGAGTCTTGCCAGTCTAAATACAAAGACATATACGAGGACTTTGTAAGACAATATCCCCAGGGCAGACAAGACGAGTTCCCCCACAGCAACGGGGAGATCACGTCCAAGGCACAAATCACATCCAAATTGAAGGCTGTTCGGACGAAGTACAGAAAAGCGGTGGACACGGGGAAGCGAAGTGGCCAAGGACGTGTTGTGTTCATATTCTTCGAGCTGTGCCAACAAGTTTGGGGAGGGTCACCGGCCACTGAGACCATCGCAGGTGTGCGGATTGCGAAGATGATGATCCCGCCATTACCCGTAGCTCAACCTCTATCTCCGAAAGCCAAGAAAATGTGGAGAATGACAATAGCGGTTCGTCTTCTGGGGTGGTCAACTCGAGACGAAATATGCTCCAAGTAAGTACTTGCAGTTCATTGGGTTAGACTAGAGTGTAATAAAGTGCTCATTAATTCGTTAAGACTAATTCTATTGCTCTATTATATAATATACACACTAATATATGTATGTAATGTGTATATATATTTAGTGTGTGTGTGTGTAATATATATATATATGTGTATATGTATATGTGTGTATGTATGTATGTATGTGTATATGTATATGTGTGTATGTATATATGTATGTGTATATGTATATGTGTGTATGTATATATGTATGTGTATATGTATATGTGTGTATGTATATATATATATATATATATATGTATGTATATATATATATATATATATGTGTATGTATATATATATATATATATATATATATATATATAGTGTAGTATGTATATATATATATATATATATATATATATATATGTGTATGTATGTATATATATATATATATATATATATATATATATATATGTATATATATATATATGTGTATGTATGTATATATGTGTGTATGTATGTATATATATATATGTGTGTGTGTGTGTGTGGCAGCCATTTTGTCGACCCTCATGCATGCGGAATGTTATGTATGTATGCTGATGTTCATATATGTTTTGTCCCATTAACAGCGAAGCTGGATGGTCACAGGAGAGAGAAGTTGAAGAGAAAACTGGACTCTGATTCGTTTGTGGAAGAGGACCTCCGTATCAAACGGAGAATGTTGGAGTTGGCCGAGGTGGCAGAGATTAACAGTAAACTGCAAATGGCTGAGCTAACAAGCGAGATGAGGAAGTTACATGGCTCCATTTCTGAAGGGTTGTCGATATTGAGACAGTTAACCCCACAGTCGCAGTTCAACTCGCCATATCCTCATGGACAACTTGCCTATGCAGATGTGCACAGACTGCCCAGTGGGTTCAGTCCTCATGGCTTCTCCACACCTGGCCCCATGCACCATCCCTCTGCAGTTTCCACCCCTAGACTCTCACCTTCCTTCCACAATCCACAACAGGGACAAGGACCGTCGTATCGGCGCATGCTGATGCGCGAGGACACAATTGAGGAGCTGGACTTCACTTATTAGGATTTCTCCTTTCTGCGTCTCGCCTGAAAGTGCTTATCATGCACCCTACACTTTATGTAGCAGTTATTGCACTTTAATTCTTGCACAAGTTTGTATTAATACTACCTCTGCCTTTAAATTGTGTGTTGTGTGTGTGTGATTTTTCAGAAAAGCATAATTTCACATGTTTTTATTCAAATGTTTGCTATTCACAGGCACAATACAAAAAACAAATGTTTTCAAATGTAATTAAAAGCACAGGGCAAAGGCTTTCTGCTTTATGGGTCAAGATATTTTGAAACAACCCTTCTGACTCTCTTTCCACCACTTTCATTACAATCAGTTATGTAGTTGTTTGCATGCTCTGGTGGCTGACATTGTTGGTCAGCCTGTACAGTCTCCAACACGAGGCCCTCGGACACAGGTTCTTTTCTAGATTCACAGTAATTGTGCAACACAAAACATGCATAAATCACATGGGGCAAATCGAGCAGGTTGATGTCCATAGGTCGCCTCAGACACGCAAATCTCGCCTTCAATCTGCCGAACGAGCATTCTATGACCATTCGAGCACGACACAGAGTTAATCCAAAGTATTGTTCTTGTACAGTGGAACCGCCATTTGTATACTCCTTCATCAGGTACGGAAGGAGAGGGTATGCTGGGTCACCCAGAAGAAAAATGGGTATAGCATCCTCGTCATCGATGATTTGCTTAGGCAGTGAGGGAATCTTGCCAGTCTTTAAGAATTCGTTGATTTTAGAATTCGCAAAAATCCGTGCGTCGTGAACGCTGCCAGGCCACTTGATGACTACATCCATGAATCTGTATTTGTAGTCACACACAGCTTGGATTTTGAGAGAGTGCTTTCCTTTTCGGTTTAGGTAGTCCATTGAATTGTGTGATGGCCGTCTGATTTCCACGTGTGTGCCATCGACAGCCCCCAAGCATTGGGGCATACCGTGTGCTTGGAGGAATCCAGACACAAGTGTCTCAGCCTCAGGTGCGGTGAAAGGCAGGCAAATGTACTTTTTCCCGAGATTTGTGGTGATTGCTTTACACGTCCGCCGCACAATCAACGACACAGTCCCCCGAGCCAAACCAAATGCATTCGCAGTCTTCCTCAGTCTGCCTTCATCCCCAAGGTAGTACAGTGTACAAGCCACCTTTTTTAGGACTCCTACCGGTGCTCTCATATTCGTCCATCTCCCTTCGATGTACAGACGAAGTTCTTCAGAAAGAGCCACCACAGACTTTCTTGACATGCGAAAGTTCTCTTTCCAGGCCTGGGCATCGACAAGGCCATTCTCAAAGTTGTCCCACCAGCGACTCGTTCTTCCTGGTCTTAACCAAATGCTACGTATAATCGTCCTGCGCGTGGGTAAAGGTTGGAGTATCTCCCGCAAATACTCAATGCTCTTTCGGCGGCGATATAAACGACGTATTATGTGAAGGTTATGTTGTACGAGACTAAACAACATGAATATCTGCCGGAGCACAAGCACCACACGTTGATCCGCCATTCTTGTTATGGTTTATCTGAGCTACCGCGCATGCCCAACTTTATGGTGGACGTGGTGACGTCAATAGCAGCCAAAGAATTCACACCTCTTTTGTTCTCCCGGCAGAGATACACCCCCCGCTGTGCAGCGTATCTGAGTTGTCCCACTCTGCAGGCTGGATCTGAACACTTACGTTTTCACCCCCCTGGAACACAGTCTTCGTATGAACGCTTGGTAGCAACCGACATCCAACTATACCGTTTTACTGCCACATTGTCTCCGTGTAAACTAGGCCTGAGGGAAAGGGGGCAATGGGGCACACACGGAGGTGTGAACGACCGGGCCACTGCAGAGGTTAAAAGGCAGGTTATTCTTATTTTTTATATTTATAAACCTACAATACATACAGAGATACTTAGCCATTGAAGAATTAAATGCACAGAGATATATAGTGAAAGCAACAGTCTTTCTCACCAGCATACAAGAATGTATAGATTTTTTTTAAATAACTGGATGCTTGTTAGCATTGCCTACAGACAAGTTAGCTTGCCAATTCACAAGGTAAAAACAATATGCGCACAAACCTTGCCTCCTGATGACCAGCTAACTTAGCAGGGATTTCTTCCTCTAGCTGGTGGCACTGTGGAAGCTGCTGATTGGAGGTCTCCATGCCTCCGCTCTGTATAATACACTTGCATTCTGTTGTTCGTGTTGTTCGTGCTGTCTCTACCATCGACAATAAAACATGTCTTCTGTCTGAAATAAAGACACAATCCCAGACATGTCATCTTCTTCAGGTGGTGGGAGAATGCAGGCCTTGTCTGTAACATCTAGAGCAGTGTCTCCCAAAGTGGGGTCCGCGGCCCCCTGGTGGGCCGCGTGGGTACTGCAGGGGGGCCGCGGGAGGTCATAAAAAAAAAAAAAAAAAAAAATATTTAATGTTAAATTTATAATGTTTTGTTTGTAATATTAAAATAATTGTGTTCATTATTTGACTTGAATAAGCCACTGTAATCATTTTTGTATTACAATGTTTGTAGCAGAGGCTATTTCCCCAAAATAAAATAACCAGAAGAGCCTATTCTTAATGTTGTCCATCCATCCATCCATTTTCTACCCTTTAATCCATTTCTGGGTCAGGGGGGTGGCAATCAGAGATGCCACCCAAGTCTCATAGCACCAGCCCCTCACTGACCCTCTGCAGGTGGTGAGTCCACAGGAGGACGGCTGCTCTCTGAGTGTGAGCATAGCCTTGATCTTTCAGTGGGGGCTTTGGGCAAAGTGGGGTTAAGTGTCTTGCCCAAGGACACAACGACAGCAGTCATCAGTGGGAGTCGATGGAGAAGGTGCAGAGGTGGGAATTGAACCCACGACCTTCTGGCCTTAAGGCCAATGCTCTACCAACTGAGCTACTGTCGCCCTTCTTAACCTAGACAACCTTCTTAATGTTGTCTTCTTGGTTATTATTTTGGGGGGGCCACACAGACCCGACAGATTTTTAAGGGGGCCTCGGTGTTACTGAGTTTGGGAATGGCTGATCTAGAGAACAGAAGACTACTTTTTTTTACACAAAAAGTGTTTTTTTTTTTCAAGCCAAAACTGAGAAACCTCAAGAGAAACCATGCATCTGGATCAGCACATGGACAATCTGCACAGCCCCTGATTCCAGTCAGGCTGTGAGCTGCTGAGACATGGACAACACCAGCGTCCTCTTTTGCATGGACATGATTTGGAACAATTTGATTACACAATTTGGACATGATTTGGAAGAATTGGATATTTGAATTTGGACATCATTTGGACTGAATTGAATTGCTGAATCTGGACACTGAAGCTGAAACGTGTGATTGAAAGACACTTCACAGAAGAATTCATGGCTCAACACAACAAATGCAGCCTGAAGAAATCAACAGAGAAGTGGGAGAGACTGTTTTCAAAGCAATATCTGGAACCACATTTCAGGCTTCAAACATAAATATATAAAAAAATATTTTTTTTGTCAAGAATCAACAACAAGTGGGACACAATCGTGAAGTGGTACAAAATGTATTGGATAATTTAAACTTTTTTAACAAATAAAAAAGTGGGGCGTGCAATATTATTCGGCCCCGTTGCACTAATACTTTGTAGCGCCACCTTTTGCTGCAATTACAGCTGCAAGTCGCTTGGGGTATGTCTCTATCAGTTTTGCACATCCAGAGACTGGAATTCTTGCCCATTCTTCCTTGCAAAACAGCTCGAGCTCAGTGAGGTTGGATGGAGAGCGTTTGTGAACAGCAGTCTTCAGCTCTTTCCACAGATTCTCGATTGGATTCAGGTCTGGACTTTGACTTGGCCATTCTAACACCTGGATACGTCTATTTGTGAACCATTCCATTGTAGATTTGGCTTTATGTTTTGGATCATTGTCCTGTTGGAAGATAAATCTCCGTCCCAGTCTCAGGTCTTTTGCAGACTCCAACAGGTTTTCTTCCAGAATGGTCCTGTATTTGGCTCCATCCATCTTCCCATCAATTTTAGCCATCTTCCCTGTCCCTGCTGAAGAAAAGCAGGCCCAAACCATGATGCTGCCACCACCATGTTTGACAGTGGGGATTGTGTGTTCAGGGTGATGAGCTGTGTTGCTTTTACACCAAACATATCGTTTTGCATTGTGGCCAAAAAGTTTGATTTTGGTTTCATCTGACCAGAGCACCTTCTTCCACATTTTTGGTGTGTCTCCCAGGTGGCTTGTGGCAAACTTTTTATGGATATCTTGAAATGGCTTTCTTCTTGCCACTCTTCCATAAAGGCCAGATTTGTGCAGTGCACGACCGATTGTTGTCCTATGGACAGACTCTCCCGCCTCAGCTGTAGTTATCTGCAGTTCATCCAGAGTGATCATGGGCCTCTTGGCTGCATCTCTGATCAGTCTTCTCCTTGTTTGAGATGAAAGTTTGGAGGGACGCCCGGGTCTTGGTAGATTTGCAGTGGTCTGTTACTCCTTCCATTTCAATATAATTGCTTGCACAGTGCTCGTTGAGATGTTTAAAGGTTGGGAAATCTTTTTTGTAACCAAATCCGGCTTTAAACTTCTCCACAACAGTATCTCGGACCTGCCTGGTGTGTTCCTTTGTCTTCATGGTTCTCTCTGCGCTTTAAACAGAACCCTGAGACTATCAAAGAGCAGGTGCATTTATACGGAGACTTGATTACACACAGGTGCATTCTATTTATCATCATCAGTCATTTAGGACAACATTGGATCATTCAAAGATCCTCACTGAACTTCTGGAGTGAGTTTGCTACACTGAAAGTAAAGGGGCCGAATAATATTGCACGTCCCACTTTTCAGTTTTTTATTTGTTAAAAAAGTTTAAATTATCCAATAAATGTTGTTCCACTTCACGATTGTGTCCCACTTGTTGTTGATTCATGACAAAAAATTTAAATGTTATATCTTTATGTTTGAAGCCTGAAATGTGGGCGAAATGTTGAAAGGTTCAAGGGGGCCGAATACTTTCGCAAGGCACTGTAACT